AGTTTCAACAGATTCTTTTCAATTAATTTTTTTGCTTCGTGTAAGAGTGTGTCAAGTTGAACGGACCAGCCTATATATCGACCGTAAAACGGTTATCTCTCCATGTTTTTTTTTTCGTTTCGACAAACATCAAAAACGCATACGATAACAATTCAGCATAGCACTTTTCGCTTATACCGCGAGGTGGAAATTGAAAAATCGCCCACCGCGCTGTAATAGAAGCGCGTGCATTATTTCATTTTCCCGAATACCGGATTTTTCCGGGACACGAAGAATGGCCCGCGAAAATTATTATCATCAATTTGGCATGCACATGAAATCGCGCAACACATTGTCGAGGGAAAGCGGCGGACTTTTATTTTTCTGGTTTCGAGTGGATATTTATTGCCCCCGATGATTTTCAGCAGGGTATATACGATTTGTTTGTTTTATTGTTAATTTCAGGTATAAACTTTAATTATTCAGGGTTATCGAGTTTTATAATGCAGAATACAGGGTTGGGCATACGTGTGGAAACACTTAATTTCTGACTAAACCGGCAAGCTTTCTTTTTTCTCTGAAAACTTGTACAGGGTGATTCCAAATTCGATGTAAATATTTTAAGGACGTATTGTTGGGATCAAAATGAGACTTTCTTCAGATAAACATGAAATCATGTGTCCTGCACCATCCTCCGAACTACAGCCACTGTAAGTAGGGTAAAAAAGAAAGATTATTTGAAATTGTGATCAGAATAATGGATCAAATCGTCCGAAAATTGGCATTTCCCTGTTTTTCTAGGCACTCTTCTTCTGTTTTTGCTTCAAACATCATGTTAACCCATTTTTAAGGAAGTTGGAGTGTTGATCCCAACAATATTCCCTCAAAATATTTATATAGAATTGTGAATCACCCTGTATAATTTTTTTCTGTTCTACTCAGTGGCCAATGTTGATTTTGGCAGCTATCGTATTGTCGTAAATATGATACAGTGAGCAGTTTTCTGGAATGGATCACCCTGTATGTAAATATTTTTTCGGACTGCTATTCTTCTAACTTACATCGGTTGTAGAAATATATGAAATATTAATTAATAAAAGATGTCTAGTATTTAAGTTTTGCTCGTTTACAAAACTATTGAAGCAGTTTTGAAAAAAATATAAAGAAGGTATATGCTTCAGGGGATTCGTTGATAGTTTAGGATATTATCAAGTAGAAGAAGATCAATTATTGAACATTTTATTAGTTTTCATGACAACTTAACGAATTAAACAAAAATATCTGACATTTTCTATCAATTATTATATCATCTTATATTTCTTATATTTCTACAACCACCAATCAAATACACGCCAAAGTTCATATCAATGTGAGATGATAAAGCACAGCTATCCGAAAAAATATTCATATGGTGATCTATTTAAAAAACTGCCGAATGCGCCATATTTACAACAATATGATAGACTGTGATGATAGCTACCAATGAACATTGGCCACTGAGTAGAACAAAAAAATTTCAATAGTCTCGACAGAACAAATCAATAAATTACTTCTGTTTCATATTAGGTGTTTCCACACATTATGCTCAACGCTGTATTTCAGTTATCTATAGAATTCTAGAAAATGAAGACAGTATTCTCAGAAAACGTTCAGGGTGTCGTCTACTAATTAATGGTACACGGTAAATCTGCAGATTCCTCTGGAGATTTCAGTATACGTATGATTATCACAGGTCGTATTGATCTCAAATTTCACGAACACTTTCACAAATGGTAAACTAATAAATCGTTTTTTTTTATCGCAGTCTTATAAGTAAATCAGACTATAAATATAGGGTGTTTCAAATTCGATCGTCACCATTGGGAGTTTGGAAACTCTGAGAGATCCGAAGATGGTTGAATTTTTGCTAGCTTTGTTTATTGAAGAATCCCAAAATGTTTTGCATTTTTAGGATGTCACTTTTGTCCTACTACTATCTACTTCATTTATACCGTCAGATGAAATATAACAAGTCGGAAAACATTTCTAAGTAGCAGGGAAAAAAAGAGACATAATATTGAAGTGCGATTCATTTCGGATTCCTTCAGAAAATATATACAAGTTCCCAAAATTTCATTCGTTTCCGGATTTTGTATGTCCAAACTTGAGATCCCAATAGAATTTAAAACACCTTGTATAGCGATCAATTACGTCGATTGAAAAATGAGTACTCACAAATTTGCAATATTTTGGAAAATTCATGAGTCCTTTGTATAGAATGTAAACCGCCTTATTTTGTGCTGTTTGAAATTTCCTAACAAAATAAAATGTTTTTGTTATTCATGTCATTAACACTAATGTGTGTTGTGTGTTGTTGGAAAATGTAGTTATATGCGCGAATTTACAACCTAATTACTGTTTTTCAGGACGCAAACTGGCTGAAAGCATGCTCGTTATTTCATTTGTTCTGTTTCTATTTTCCGCCTCGGATACAGCTTTTTGCAAAGTATTACGTGTACGATTTTTATACTGATTTTATCAGGATTATAAGTATTTTTTGAATCAAGGAAATAAAACAGTTGTTTGCAAACTTTTTTTTATATATTGGCTTTATTTCAACATCAGATCTTAATAGACGCTTGTAGAAAAACATTTTATTTTTATCTTACCGTAATCGAAGCCAAATGCGAAATATTTGTAAAATTCTGTATCAAAATGTATCTACACAGCGTTGCCAATTCTGAATGAGAACAAAAGCGTATTTGTGTGATGGTATTATTTGCAATCTTACATACCTAGATTACCATCTACAGGGTGGTCGAACGAAAACTTTACACCCCGATTTTCGGGCATTAAAATGAAAAACGCTCGGCCCCGTAGATTTCTGAATCAAGGGGGAACTACTTGTCTGCTTTCTTCATCCCCGTCACTTCAACCCCTACCAGGGGAAAGCACAACCCCCGGATTCTGATTAGGGATGAGGGGTGTTGTAATATCTCATTTTGAAGATTTTATCGAGTACTATCCGACCCTCTAATTTTAAGCTTTTTTTATCGGATAAATTTCTCTTGGTAACGAGAAACATTTGCCGATCAGTAATTTTACGAGAAAAACTGACATGAAAAAATTGCGAGACCGTAAATCCAGCATCTTTGTCTAATGTCAGTTTTTCTAGAGAAATAATTGGTGGAAAATGAGTTTTTTTTTGGCAAGATAAATCAACGACAATATACAAATAAAGAACAATAATGATTACCTTCATTGATGATTCCGTGTAACTGGTAGTTTGCCGGAATTGATTTTCTCATATTTTCGTGGTTTCTTCAGACGAAATTTTCCTAAAACGGCTCATCTTGCTAATTTACCCGTGAACCAAACCCATCAATCAAACTTAACACGACAGAAATTGGAGTGACATCAGACGCAAATAGCTACTAGATCAAAGAAGCAGACAGTTTATCAGCGATAAAAAAAGTGCATCCTTTTTTATCGATGTCAAAATGACTTCATCGTCAAATAGCGTTTTGCGTGTAGGAGTTGATTTATCGATGTAAATTCGACAATGCCTCTTCTCACTATTGATGAAAATTTTGACGGCTAATCAGAGGGTCGGATAGTACTCGATGAAATCTCCAAAATGAGGTATCGCAACACCCCTCATTCCTATTCAAAATCCAGGGGTTGTGCATCCCCCTGCTTGGGGTTTGAAGTTACGGGGCTGAAAAAAGCAGAAGTTCCCGTTCGAAATCAGAAATCGACGGGTCCGAGCGTTTTCCCGGATTTTCATTTTGAAGCCCTAAAAACGAGGTGTTGAGTTTTCGTTAAACTCCTATACAGGGTGTTTCTAAATAACGCCGAAAAAATTCAAGGGGCCATTCCTTATTCTAGCAAATAAAGTTCATATCAACATGTGTCTTAACTTGCTCCGTTTTTGAGATACAGGATGTTGAAGTTGGAAGTATTAATTGTTTTGTATTTCTAACCACCTTTTATGAGCTTACATGGTGCCAAAATTCAGTATCGTTGGACACTGAGAAAGAACCAAAATTTATCTCAATGGAAGTCTTGAAAACACCTACAATAAATTTGAGGTCAAATTGAATTTTTAATTTTTCCTCAAAACCTAAGCTAGATACAAAAATCACACAGAGGACAGAAAATTTCTTGTTTAATTAGTTCAATCTGATAAGAATATGAAACTCACTATAAATATAGATGAATTTACCCATTGTGGCGTCACTGAAAATATTATTTCGAATCTCATTGCACCAGAAGAAGCTCCATATTCCTATTAACAAAACCACAACGTTTCATTGAAATTGATGAAAAGACAATTGAGTAATGAATAAAAAAACGATCTTTCATGGAAATATTCATACCCTGTATCTCGAAAACGAAGCAAGTTAGGACACTCATGTACATTATGAACTTTATTTCCTGAAATATCACAAAGAATCACTACTTGATTTTTTTCGGTGTTATTTAGATACACCCTGTATAGTTCGATTATTAGGCGATGTTGGATTATAGTTTTCGATTTTGGTTTATTTGTATTCAGAAATACTGCTGAAATAAACCAATATTTCACTGCGAAAATCTCATGTCCTGACCGCAATTCGTCGCATTAGGTGCACTTTGTCTCTTTCCGAGTTCTGTCGCTAATTACGGACATTTCGCAAAGAGAAGAGAGCGCAAAAAACAAGAATAAAGGCTTTGCTCGATATACAACTCCATCCCGCTATGTCGGAGAGATAATTACGGATATTTTGTAGCAAGTGCTCGTTCAGGAATGGCAACACGAAGGCAGTGCGGTAGGCAGGTTAATTATAAATCAGAAGTGGGATATACGTTTCAGGTGTGGGATTTGCATTTCAGAAGTGGGACATGTGTCTGTTAATGAAGATGTAGTTTTTCGTCTGCTACTACGATAAAAATTCCTTTTAATGATGGGTAACTAACCTGCATACTTGCCTGTCTTTCTTAATACTTTGTGGCGTGTTTCTCTTTTTTGTATTTGTTCCAATATTTATCATGTTTTCCAGAACGTCGACTGTCTCGGTTGGGTGCTACCAGTTCGTAGTTTCGTGATTTTTGAGTATGTACAATTTCGAAGTTTGATAGCTGCTTCAATTGGGGTTTTGGTTAAGCTTCGTTTATTTCGCTATATTATAGCTATTTACATTGATGTATCATCAGCTACACGCATGTTTTTCTTTGAACCCGCGCTTTCGTTTTCGTTTTTATAGATATATTTTTTACAATTTTTGCATAGCTCGAGCATACTTGGAATTATCACTCTTGTTGTTTTATTCGCAATTTTCCACAAGATCCAGGTGAGTTCTTGAATCCAACACTTGATATGGTATCGTATCACCTTGAGAAAAAAACCTTCCTTAACTTAACTTAACACCTCCATAGAGAACACGATTTGAAGATGACGTGAGTCATTTTGACATCGATAAAAAAGGTACTTCCTTTTTTATCGCTGTAAAAATTCCTGTTTCTCAAAACTATACTTTATATTTCATATTTTTAATCTATTTCTCTTAGGTATTGTTCATATTTAATTTTAATACTGCAACAAACAAACTCAAACTCTCATATTCCATCACCTACCACTTATATTTTGCCATATTATCATATCGCACTAGTGCGGAAATTTTTTTTTCGCACTAGTGTGGGAAAATTTCTCCCGCAATGTTGCGGGAAAATGACACTTCCCAAACTAAATTGCGTGCGGGTATAGGGTGAATCACGCACGCTTGTAGAAAAACTTCTTTTCCGGATGAAATTCTACAGGATGATAATCAAAAGCTTTGCATTTTTCCAAAAATTTCAAACGCCTCCCGTTTGAAAGAATTTTTTTTTTGTCAAAAACATATTGCTCCATAGGTATGTTTTCTCGATACTGTGAAAACATTTTTGGAATTGTCACACGCGTTACTGAAATATGAATGTTTTATTAAGATAATGCATAATTTGATGCTCTAGGTTGAAATTATCTTCTAAAAATCTATCACAAAGTGAGAACGACGCTCTGAAAATCCGATTTTTCTAACAATTCCAGTGGTTTGATCTTGCAATAGATTCGGTAGCAACTTGACATGGCGATGAAAACCTCTCCTACACGCTTTGATTGATTTTGAAGAAAACTTCTCAATCGGTTTCCTGCTTCGAAATTGTCTTGCTCGTCAAAACAAGTTTTTTTTTTCATTACTTGATGCCATAATTGTTGTTTGAGGACCACCCTGTATATAGGAATAGGTTGATCATGCATCATTTCAAGATTTTTGACCACCGTTCGAACCAGATTGACAGGAACACAAAGCCAATAGAAATTAGAGCATCAAATTATGCATTATCTTAATAAATCATTCATATTTCAGTAACGCGTGTGACAATTCCAATAATTTTTTTACAGTATCGAAAAAACATATGAAGCAATATGTTTTTGACCCCAAAAAAAAATTCTTTCAAACGGGAGGCGTTTGAAATTTTTGGAAAAGTGCACATCTTTGATTATCATCCTGTAGAATCTCATCCGGAAAAGATGAAATAGTGGTATCCATAGGTTCGATAGTCAATGAAACGAGCTTTCAGAAACTGAAAAATAATTGAAAATCGGTTAAGGAAATCGAAAGTTATGATGATACAAATTTGATCGAAAAAATACGATTTTACGTTACATGTGTTGAGCAGTTTATTATTGTTAATTTAACAGTGTTTTGTGGCTGGTGGTCTCAGGGGTGTAATTAGACGACGGTATCGCAATGAGACGGATACATATCTCTGAAATGCCCTTTGTGCTTACTACCCGCATTCTGCCTCTGGGCTTTTATCGAACATTTTGGTGTCGGTGACGATAAACAGGATTTCATCTTCCACATGCTTGCTTTCCGCTTTTTTCCACCAGTATTAATGAATAATAATGTAATGTAAAGTGATGTTTTGAAGACTCTGGTTAGCTATTCAAGTATAAAAACATACCCGAAACACCACCATAATTCATACAACGGCACAATTAGAGGAACAGGAAAAATTAACACCAAGTTTGACATCGGTTTTTCGCTCGAACCCATCGCTCGATCTCAATTTGTTATTTCAAGAATTGTAGCTTGATTCTTCACGTATGCATGTGTCGAATAGACACCTTCAAAGGATTCGTCTTTATATCATGTACAGAGGTGGAAGGAAAGTACGAATTTTTTATATCTTTTAAGACATCCTGTGGAGTGAATCACGGACAATTGACACCAGTCTGTATCACAAAATTGTAGCTTGATTTTTTCCGAACATTCTCTCTTTTTATCCATACTGATATCTCAATTAATCAAGAAAATGCAGAGTTTCAAAGGAAATGTGGATAGTGGTCTTAATTTTACCACCTCGAAACTCGTCTCTCAAGTTTTTCCTGTGAAAATTTCCACTTCAAGTTGAATATTGCTCTCAGTTTAACTTTTCAGTCTATTGTGTCAAGAATTTACAGAGGTGATTGAAAAGAAACGTAGTTTTCTCAAAGCCTCCGTTCAATATCAATAACAGTAACTTAACAAACAATAAAGATTCAATACACCAACAATGATTTCAATAACACGTGTGACCTCCACGCACCCTTATTACAGCAGTCTTCTGTTTCTTGATGCATCCGATGACATTTCTTGAAGAAGACGATCCCAAATCTCAACCAGAGCTGCTACTATAGGAATTCTGGACATTAATCGTCCCATAGATGTTCGATTAGATTCAGGTCTGGGGAACATGCATGCCAATCCATTGATCTTATTCCGACTGTATTTAAAAAGTTGGAGACTGAACGAGCCACATGACGTCGCTGCAAAGAGCTTTCTTTGTTCTATAGGCCCTCAGACCAACTTCTTTGAGCCTTCCACGTACTTCTTCCAGTTTGTTTATTATTTGGGATACGGTTCTACGTCTGTTTCGTAGTGTTTGGGTGACTTAAAATCGGTCATCTCTATAGCCGTGGTTGGCCTTTTTCTTCCTTGGCCTCGTCTCCTCATTCACTCTCCTGTTTGTCTCCAACTTCTCACATTCCGGTAAATCGTAAATTTTGATTCTCCCAGCATGTCAGCAACATCAGTGTACGATCTACCATTTTCAATTAATGCTACTGCCCTTGCCACATCAGTAGGAATCATATCTCTCATGTTGATTTTCAATAATTAAAATTATGACTTGAATTATGAATCGCTTGACTTTTACAATAAAACTCCATAAGATCTGAAATAATTAAAACATGAAAATATTCGGAATATATTGGACCACAATTTGGTGTTGATCCCTGTATATGATATAAAGACCAATCGTTCTAAGATTCAAGGTACAATTAAAAAAAAAACGAAATCGCGCGATGGGTTCAAGAGAAAATTGATGTCAAACTTAGTAACTAGGGTGCCATAATCAGTAAAGCTGGAAATCAATTAAAAATTAGCTGAATCTATAGTATCTTCCTGGATATTCTCCAGATATTTAATACCTAATTATATTACTGTTCATATACGGTTTCACTTCAATGAATTCTGTCAAAGTTACTCAGAGAGTAATGAGAGTATTGAGCTGGGAAAGGGTTGGTACAAAATCTTGATTTATTAACCATCCCCTATTGCGATTAATGTAAATACTTGCCGAACTGTTCAATTCCCAATTGTTTGGAATATGTTTGAGGAGTCTCAAATTATCTAAAGAGAAAGCGAGAATATGTTTGGCATTGCTTGATTTATCGAACCGATTATATCAGAAGTGAGCAATATGTTCCTTTAATCTTGTGCCTATGCTCCGATTTGTTTGCCCGATATATTTCATTTTCATATTTTAGTTTTCTAAATGTCAGTATTATATTTTGGGTATAAATATGTATTTGAATGCACATTCTGTCTTTAAAAATGCCACATTTTTGAAAACTGACTGGCATAGCGTCAAAATTAAAAAAATCAACTAGAACCCCCAACGACGCCAATGAGAGTTGGATCGACTAAATAATGATACCGATTCATTCATTCTCAGGAAGTTCACCAGAATATCTGGGAATTTCTCACGGTTCACTGGTAGTTCAGTTTTCAAGTTTAACGCACACAAAATCCTCTCTACTACATATGTATGTTCTATCGACTGGTGTACAGGGTGAGAAATTTTCAATGACTCATAATCTAGGAATCGATATATTCAAAAATTCCTGTAATTCTGTGAAAATTTGTCATACAGTTTTGGAAAAAGTGAATACATGTTTTATTTGAAAACTTGTCGACGGTTTTTTTAACATATCCGTATTTGATCCATTCTTTGATTAGAAAAACTGAAAAACAGGGGGTTAAATAATCTCTTACTCTTCCAGTGCTACTTATGTATACTTAGCAATCAGTTTTTGAGCTTCAAAATGTTCTTCACTCTTTAGTTCTTTTTGTATTTCGCCGCTTGTTGCAGCTGATTTTTTTTTCAATTATATAATTTGTTTGCTATCTGTGTATTGAAATGTTGCTATTGTGTTTATTCAGTTTTTCATCGATCCACTTATATATTCTTTTTTTTTTTTGTTTAGCACGGAAACTTCGCATGGGCAAACTGCCCAAAAACTATCTCGTAGGTTATATCGCTTGAGCTGAGCTGAAGAGGAGTGACTTTTCCACACCTGATCGAGGAGCCTGTCTGCGTCGAACTTTACTTTTCCCCCCAAAAAAGGGAAAACTTGTTTTTATGTTGCATAGGTTTTTTTCGGTTACGTGTATGATTAGTGACTTGAACAATATGTGTCGTTTTCTATTTTAGATATTGGTTTACCTCTCAGGAAAGCATGTGCTCAACAATTATTATGCATTATTTTGGGAAGGAAGTAATTTACTGAATATTTTTTCGAGATGCTCAAGTGAAATTTTACCAATGCCTATCATTCAAATTTTTACTGTTCTAGTTGTCATTCATGTCGTTTGTCACTGCCTAAAATACTGTAGTAAAACAATATTTTCATTTTCCTGGAATTGAATGCAAAATGGTGTGATAAACTGTTGATTAGAGGTGAACTGAAATTGAAAATAGTGTAGGAAAACCAATGGTCACTGGAGTTTTTTTTAACGAAAATATTGAGAACTTGACGACGAAGGTATTTATTAAAATATTTTGGAAATATGGAGCATATTATTTTCATACATGTCAGTGACCACTTGTAGACCCTGTACATTATTAATTATTTGATATATTAATATATTATATTATTTTATTGATGTTTTAGCCAATTATGATGATTGATTTTTCTGTAAATATTGTTTGCAATGTAATTATTAAATAATGTCATCAGCTTTACGCTAAATTGTAATACGCCTATACTGTAATCAATATGTCGAGATTTTCAAAGAATAACGGATACAAAATTTGACAAATATTGTAATCATCATATAATATGTAATTAAGTGCTTTCCATGGAAATACTGTACGGCTAATCGCCCATTTAAATGGTACACTGGTGCACTATAGGTTATTGAATAGTTTTGCCCTCATGTTATTTATTGATTTTATCATGACTTGAAGTTTTACTTATCTATTTTTGTTGGTTTTTGTCTTGTAAATATTTTTTTGTCTGATCATTTTAACTACTTGAAATTATTGATTTCATCACAACCCAGTAAACATTTTTTTGTTTCTGAAATGTTTCAGAAACGTAGTATTGATGCATGAAACATTGCATTCAAAGTTGCCTACATGTTCCAGAAACATTCCAGAAACTAGAGATGTCCGCCCTCAGGAATGTTTCATGGTAATGTTCCTAAATAATGTGTCAAATACGCGAAATGAAACATTTTGGAAACATTTCTACCATGATCATATACTGTAGGAATGTTCCATGCAATATTTCATAAATATTTCTTTCGTTATATTACATGAAATGTTTCAGAAATATTCGTGAAACCAAAGATATTTGCCCTCAAAACTGTTTCATGAATGATGTTTTGAATACAAATGCTTGAAACATTCTGGAAACATTCCCAATATGATTAAATCTCTAAGAATGTTTCTTGGTACATTCCATGAATATTTTTGAAACGATAAATTTTCGCCACCAGAGATGTTTCATTAATAATGTTTCAAATACATATATATAGAAACATCCTGGGAACATTCATTGTAGAACTTTCGGGAATGTTTCATGAAACATTTCATGAATGTTTTTCATTCAACAATATTACTGTTTATGAAACATTCCCATTGAATGTTTCAGAATGAAAAAAACCTACCAATATCGCTGGAATATATTCATATTGCTGGTGAAATAAAAGATAATAGACATAAAAAATGGATTATATTGCTTATATAATGATATATGAAAAAAGCAGTTGAAAAAGTATCATCAGATATTTCACATAATCACGACGTATTAGGTATGTACATATATATCAAGTAATTTAACATCGTTATTCACATGTTGAGTACTTCGATATTTTTCTTCGGTTACATCGCAATTGAAAGCACTCTTCTTGTGCAGCTTCTAAGTCATGATGAAATTTTCACACTCCATCCTAGAACAAAAAGTATCATTATGAATATGCCCATCATGATATCTAATAATATTTGATATTTCATCTGAAATTATGGTTTTTCTATATTTATACGTACCTCGGCCTTGTCCATGGAGCCGTTGAATACATTTCAAAGTCCAGCCACACCAGGGGATAATGAAAAAAATGGAGTCGTTTGTGTTGTTTGTTTGGTTGCAAGTTTTGATGTCACTTCACATGGCCTAAATCACCTAAGAGGTCTACCGGTACGATTAAATAGTAAACACTCGAAAATGTGTTTGACTTGAGTGCAATAATTATATTTTATCACTATTATAAGATATTAGATGTCTTTTGCTTTGCTTGGCTTGAGACAACAGTCGGAAAGCGAAAACTGCGAAGCCTTTCACCAAGAAGAAGGAAACTGAATGCGCGTGCGCGAACGCTTAGAGCCGACGACGGGAACCCGCGATCGATTACCGAAGCCACGAAAGCGGCGGCTGTAGAGGGTTAATGCTGAATTGCATCATAATATGATATAATGCTTGGTCAAAATAGACCATGTAATAGTTGTGAAATAATCTAATTAATTTATTAAAATTCGGGTTATTTTGAAATATTCTTAAATTTACCAATTCAAGTTGCATGTCTTGGAATATTGTAGAAGGTAAGTAATTCCTAATGAATGTGTCAAAATGTCAATAATTTGAGGAGCCTTGGAATTTTTCAAACTTATTCCTAACGCATTGGAACATTCCTGAATCACTATTGAATGATATGTTTCAATTGAAGTGATTTTGAAACGTTTCATTAATTAATCATTCAAGTAATTTCGGAATGTTTCGGAATATATCAATTAAAGTTGTCTTGAAATGTTCCAGAAATGTTGCGATGATATTGAAATATCCCTGGAATGTTTCTGATGAATGTTTCCATTATTCAGAATGAGAGTAATATCGAAATGTTCCAATCATTTGAAATTCATGTGATTTTGAAATGTTCCTTAATCAACCAATTTCAGTTGTCTTTTGATATTGCAGTAATTCGCGATAAGTGTATATTTGGAATGTTTCAAAATTTCTATAGTTTGATGAACCTTGAAATGTTCCGACCGCATTGGAACATTCCTGAATAAGTAGAAAATGATATGTTTCAATTATTCACAATTGGAGAAATTTTGAATCGTTTCATTTATTAATTATCCAAGAAATTTTGGAATGTTTTGGAATATATCAGTTGAAGTTGTCTTGAAATAATTCAGAAATGGTACAAAGATTTTGAAATATTCCTGGAATGTTCCTGGAAAATGTTTCCATCATTCAGAATGAGAGACATATTGAAATGGTCCAATCATTCAAAATTCAGGTGATTTTGAAATGTTCCTCAATCAAGCAATTCAAGTTGTCTTGAAACATTGAAGTAATTCGCAATGAATATTTGAAATGTTCCAAAATCTCAATAGTTTGAGGTACCTTGAAACGTTTCATACATATTTCGAACGCATTGAAACATTCCTGAATAAGTAGTAAATTATATGTTTCAATTATTCACTACCAATTTTTCTTTAAATTGTAACATTCATTCACTTCACAATTAATTTCGAAATGTTTTGGAATATATCAATTATAGTTGTTTTGAAATATTTCAGGAATATTACAGTGATTTTGCAACATCCCTGGAATGTTCCTGGAAAATGTTTCCATCATTCAGAATGAGAGTCATATTGAAATGTTCCAATCATTTAAAATTCAGGTGATTTTGAAATGTTCCTCAATCAAGCAATTCAAGTTGTCTTGAAACATTGAAGTAATTCGCAATGAGAGTATATTTGAAATGTTTCAAAATCTCAATAGTTTGAGGTACCTTGAAACGTTTCTAACATATTTCGAACGCATTGAAACATTCCTGAATAGGTAGTAAATGATATAGTTCAATTATTCACAATCAAAGTTATCTTGGAATGTTTCATTCATTCACTTCACAAGTAATTTCGAAATGTTTCGGAATATATCAATTACAGTTGTTTTGAAATATTTCAGGAATATTATAGTGATTTTGCAATATACCTGGAATGTTCCTGAAAAATGTTTCCATCATTCAGAATGAGAGACATATTGAAATGTTCCAATCATTTAAAATTCAGGTAATTTTGAAATATTCCTCAATCAAGCCATTCAAGTTGTCTTGAAACATTGAAGTAATTCGCAATGAAAGTATATTTGAAATGTTTCAAAATATCAATAGTTTGAGGTACCTTGAAACGTTTCAAACATATTTCGAATGCATTGAAACATTCCTGAATAGGTAGTAAATGATATGTTTCAATTATTCACAATCAAAGTTATCTTGGAATGTTTCATTCATTCACTTCACAAGTAATCTCGAAATGTTTCGGAATATATCAATTATAGTTGTTTTGAAATATTTCAGGAATGTTACAGTGATTTTGCGGTATCTCTGGAATGTTCCTAAAATATGTTTCAATCATTAACATTTTAGGTAATCTTGAAATATTTCATAAATGTCTCATGTTTACTGGGAATAGGCCAGAAAAAACAAGAATTATGCAATAGATTTTCATCACGTGTATGAGTAACTGTTTGTTCATTTTATCATGTCACAATAAGAAATATGCAATTTTCACAAAAAATAAATATTTCAAATTAGAATGTCGTTTTTTTTTCAGTCCATTATAACGCCTCGATCGAGTAGGATGAAAGAAGTTCAAATGGGTTGACCTTGTTTCTTTTTCAAACTCAAGTTTCAAATTCGGTATACAGAGGGTCCTTAAGGGATGCCCTAGTGCGGAGTAGAAGCACAGCTCTCTAGCTTTTGAAGAAAAAAAGTAGCTATTTTTCACTTGATTTTCTTGCATTGCGGTACCTTCAATACGAATGTCTCGATCTAGTACCTACCTGAGTTGACTGGATATTGACCAAATTTTGTCAGTTTTTGATCGCAAATAACTCAAGAACCAAGAGAAATGAAGAAGAACGGACTTCAGATTCTTGTTCAGCACATCGAAAACACCCTGTATACAAGTTTTCAGCATGTTCTGACGTCTTGAGTAGGATGAAAAAAGTTCAAAGGGGTTAACCTTGTTTCATTTTCAGACACAAAAATCAACTTTGTCGTAGGGCCTTCAAATCTGGTATACAGGGTCCTCAAGGGATGCCCTAGTGCGGAGTAGAAGCACAGCTCTCTATCTTTTATAGAAAAAAAGTAGCTATTTTTCACTCGCTTTTCTTGCATTGCGGTACCTCCAATACGAATGTCTCGATCTAGTACCTACCTAGGTTGACTTGATATTGACCAAATTTTGTCAGTTTTTGATCGCAAATAACTCAAGAACCAAGAGAAATGAAGAAGAACGGACTTCAGATTCTTGTTTAGCACATCGAAAACACCCTGTATACAAGTTTTCAGCATATTCCGACGTTTTGAATAGGATGAAAAAAGTTCAAAGGGGTTAACCTTGTTTCATTTTCAGACACAAAAATCAACTTTGTCGTAGGGCCTTCAAATCTGGTATACAGGGTCCTAAAGGGATGCCCTAGTGCGGAGTAGAAGCACAGCTCTCTATCTTTTATAGAAAAAAAGTAGCTATTTTTCACTCGCTTTTCTTGCATTGCGGTACCTCCAATACGAATGTGTCGATCTAGTACCTTCCTGAATATTGACCAAATTTTGTCAGTTTTTGATCGCAAATAACTCAAGAACCAAGGGAAATGAAGAAGAACGGACTTCAGATTATTGTTTAGCACATCGAAAACACCCTGTATTCAAGTTTTCAGCATATTCCGACGTTTTGAATAGGATGAAAAAAGTTCAAAGGGGTTAACCTTGTTTCATTTTCAGACACAAAAATCAACTTTGTCGTAGGGCCTATAAATCTGGTATACAGGGTCCTTAAGGGATGCCCTAGTGCGGAGTAGAAGTACAGCTCTCTATCTTTCATGAAAAAAAAGTAGCAATTTTTCACTCGCTTTTCTTGCATTGCGGTACCTCCAATACGAATGTCTCGATCTAGTACCTACCTGAGTTGACTTGATATCGACCAAATTTTGTCAGTTTTTGATCGCAAATAACTCAAGAACCATGGGAAATGAAGAAGAACAAACTTCAGATTCTTGTTCAGCACATCGAAAACACCCTGTATACAAGTTTTCAGCGTATTCTGAAGTCTTGAGAAGGATGAAAAAAGTTCAAAGGGGTTAACCTTGTTTCTTTTTCAGACCCAAAAATAAACTTTGTCGTAGGGCCTTCAAATTTGGTATACAGGGTCCATAAGGGATGCCCTAGTGCGGAGTAGAAGCACAGCTCTCTAGCTTTTATAGAAAAAAAGTAGCTATTTTTCACTTGCTTTTCTTGCATTGCGGTACCTCCAATACATATGTCTCGATCTAGTACCTTCCTGAATTGACTGACCAGATTTTGACAGTTTTTTATCGCGAATAACTCAAGAACCAAAGGAAATAAAGAGTAGCGGACTTCAGATTCTTGTTCAGCACATCGAAAACACCCTGTATACAAGTTTTCAGCATATTCTGACGTCTTGAGTAGGATGAAAAAAGTTCAAAGGGGTTAACCTTGTTTCATTTTCAGACCCAAAAATCAACTTTGTCGTAGGGCCTTCAAATCTTGTATACAGGGTCCTTAAGGGATGCCCTAGTGCGGAGTAGAAGCACAGCTCTCTAGCTTCAAAAGAAAAAAAGTAGCTATTTTTCACTTGCTTTTCTTGCATTGCGGTACCTCCAATACATATGTCTCGATCTAGTACCTTCCTGAATTGACTGGATATTGACCAAATTTTGACAGTTTTTGATCGCAAATAACTCAAGAACCAAAGGAAATAAAGAAGAACGGACTTCAGATTCTTGTTTAGCACATCGAAAACACCCTGTATACAAGTTTTCAGCACATTCTGACGTCTTGAGTAGGATGAAAAAAGTTCAAAGGGGTTAACCTTGTTTCATTTTCAGACTCAAAAATCAACTTTGTCGTAGGGCCTTCAAATCTGGTATACAGGGTCCTTAAGGGATGCCCTAGTGCGGAGTAGAAGCACAGCTCTCTATCTTTTATAGAAAAAAAGTAGCTATTTTTCACTCGCTTTTCTTGCATTGCGGTACCTCCAATACGAATGTCTCGATCTAGTACCTACCTGAATTAACTGGATATTGACCAAATTTTGTCAGTTTTGATCGCAAATAACTCAAGAACCAAGAGCAATAAAGAGGAACGGACTCCAGATTCTTGTTTAGCACATCGAAAACACCCTGTATACAAGTTTTCAACACATTCTGACGTCTTGAGTAGGATGAAAAAAGTTCAAAGGGGTTAACCTTGTTTCATTTTCAGACCCAAAAATCAACTTTGTCGTAGGGCCTTCAAATCTTGTATACAGGATCCTTAAGGGATGCCCTAGTGCGGAGTAGAAGCACAGCTCTCTATCTTTTATAGAAAAAAAGTAGCTATTTTTCACTCGCTTTTCTTGCATTGCGGTACCTCCAATACGAATGTCTCGATCTAGTACCTACCTGAGTTGACTGGATATTGACCAGATTTTGTCAGTTTTGATCGCGAATAACTCAAGAACCAAGAGCAATAAAGAGGAACGGACTCCAGATTCCTGTTTAGCACATCGAAAACACCCTGTATACAAGTTTTCAACACATTCTGACGTCTTGAGCAGGATGAAAAAAGTTCAAAGGGGTTAACCTTGTTTCATTTTCAGACCCAAAAATCAACTTTGTCGTAGGGCCTTCAAATCTTGTATACAGGGTCCTTAAGGGATGCCCTAGTGCGGAGTAGAAGCACATCGGTCTAGCTTTCATAAGAAAAAAGTTGCAATTTTTGACCTGCCTGTCTTTTATTGCGGTACCTATTATATGAAATAGATCCATCTAGTACAGAATGTTCTGAAACCTTTTGTTCTGAATGTTTTATTATTTCTGCATTTTGGCTATATTTCATACCAAATATGAAGGTCATGCGGTCATATTGGATTTTCTGGTTAATGAAAAAATGAGCCCCTCATCGAGTTCGAATCAAAATTAGATTGGGCTGAAAACACTGTATACAGGGTGTTCTCGAAATGATGTACATGAAAATGAATTAATTCTGCCCTCATCCGAAAAGCCAAAGATAGGGGAAGGGCTAGTTCAGCAGTCAGAAATTGTTATTTCAGCATTCTATTTTTCAGCGAGTATCGAATTATGGAGAGTGCGTGACTGAAGGCTATTTTTGTTTCAACCACCCTCACGTAATACGACTGCCGACGTGGTTACGTCAAGTGAAGGGTAGATTAGTTTTCACGGCATTCGCTGGATCGATATAATTTGTATCGGAAGGGATTGAAAGCCTTATTTTCACGAAATAAAAAGCATTCTCTCCTTCATTCACATTTATTATACTTTTATTTCAAATTTCTGTTATCAACTAAAAAAATATATTTTTGGAAGTACCTTCACAAATCTGCGATTAGAGGTGTATAAAATAACAAGATTTCATCGTTCAAGTTTGAACATCTCGATTGGGTATGAAAGTATCGAAAAGGAATATTCTTAAATATAAAGTGAACTGGAAAAAATGGATATATATGTATATAAAGAATTCAGCCTTGCATGTTGGAATTTTTGAATTGTATGTCAGGAATTTGGGATATAAGTCAAATTCCTGTGATGTAATACAGAATTCTGAGTTACAAGTCATGATGTCATGATTATTGTGACTTGTATTTCAGAGATATCGAATGTAAGTATGTAATTATCATTATTATTCTTTCTAACTCGTACTTCAGAATTCTAGCTTCTATGTGAATAGTCTCACTTGCATTTCAGAATTACAACTTCCATGTGAGAATTCATAGTTGCATGTGAGAATTTTTGCTTGAATGTGACAATTCTATAATTCGTACGTGAGATTTCTAGCTTTTGGGAATTTTAGCTTGCCTGTAGATAATCTTATTTGTATTCCAGAATACTATAAAAGTTTCAACTTTTATGGTGAGAATTCCCACTTGCATTACTCAATTCTTACTTGAATGTGTGAATTCTAGCTTACTCGTGAGAATTCTTATTTGCATTTCTAATTCGCATGAGAAAATTCTAGCTTGTTTCTGAGAGTCGTCACTTGCAATCCAGAATTCCAACTTGCAAGTGAGAAATATTCCTTCTATTTTATTATAAAATGCATGTGAAAATTCTTGCTTGTTTATGAGAATTATCATTCTCCATTCAAGAATTCCAACTAGCGGAAATGAATGTTTGTTGGCTACAAAAAGCAGAAAAAAGTATCTTCTTTATATCTTTATTTTATACCATAACTGCATACGCTTTAGCAATCCTCTGACATCACAGTGCCATCACCATCGCGACATCAAGTCGGCTGACACACAAACAGAAGACGCTCGCGAAGAGTTGCAGGAGTGGGGGGCATCGAGCGAACCGCTTTTCCTGCTTCGCCAATCGACAGCGGTCCTTCCAACGGTGACTTGAATATGAGAGTTCAATTTTGATGCAAGAATTTTCATTTGCATTTCAGAATTCTAACTTGCATGTGCGAATTTCCCAATTTGCATGTGAGAGTTCTACCTATTATGCGAAAATGTCCACTTGTTTTTCAGATTTTCGACTCGCCTATGAGAATTATAGTTTGCCTG